AGACAGCCTTTAAACAGCGACGTTTTATTTAAGAAGGGAAACAGAAAACTATGGACAGTGGTACAAAAAAAAGCCACGAGGCACCATCTAAAATGGAACAGTTAGAGGAAGCCACGAGGCAAAATCGATGGATAAACACAAAGCCACTAGATATCAAGCGTACACCCCCATCCCCCACCTCACACCTCTAGTAAAAAATAAATTACCATCAAGCGCAGGTCAATGTAACTTATCGATGGAATTTTTTAAAGACATGAACCAACATCAACTGTACTTTTGAAGCTGTAACAGATTCTGTTTACGATTTGAAATTATGACGCATTTTTAAATGTATCCCAATATATTGGAACATCTGTCATATATTCTATATCTGCTCATGTTATACATTGAATACAGGCGATCGGCAGGTTTTGAAGCAGGTGTAGTCGCGTTTATAGGACAAAGAAATTTAGTCTCAGAATGGTGTGATGTTTTGATGCAATGGTTTGTAAATCTATACAACCAATTGTTGTTTTCGTTGTTAGAGACACATTAATTAGGCTGATGAATGCAAATTGTAAATAACTAAATTAGATGCAGAATAAAATTTTCAAACATGAAAAGAAATATATATAGATTTAGATTTTGTTTTAACTTATCAGACCATGGAGCAGCAAGTCTACTGCTACCTGTAGCAGTCTAGTGCACTCGGCTACCTGTAGCAAGCTAGTGCACTCGGCTACCTGTAGCATGCTAGTTCCCCAGGCTCACTGTAGAGTTTACCTGGATTTACGGTCTATTGACTCTAGTCATTATCAGCCAGGTGTTAATTAGGTACTAACTAGGTCAATAGTAGTAGGTGGGTGAGAGATGCTAGGTTGATGGCTGAGGGTTGGTATGTAGATGGAGAGTGATGGTAGATTGATGGGGATTTATGGCAGACACAGGAGAATGGTATGTTGGTGAGAGTGATGGTAGGTTGAAAGTTGAAAGATGGTAGGTTGATGTGGGAGGGACGGTAGGTTGATGGGGAAGTGATGGTAGGTTGATGGGGAAGTGATGGTAGGTTGATGGGGAAGTGATGGTAGGTTGATGGGGAAGTGATGGTATGTTGATGGGGGAGTGATGGTAGGTTGATGGGGAAGTGATGGTAGGTTGATGGGGAAGTGATGGTAGGTTGATGGGGAAGTGATGGTAGGTTGATGTGGGAGGGACGGTGACTAGATGGGGGAGTGACAGTAGATAGATGGAAGAATGATGGTATCTTGTATGTTAGTGAGAGGGACGGTTGGTTAATGGGAAAATCCCGGTAGAAAAAGTGATGGTAGTTGATGTGACATGGACGGTTGGTTAATGGGAAAATGACGGTAGAAAAAGTGATGGTAGTTGATGTGACATGGACGGTTGGTTAATGGGAAAATGACGGTAGAAAAAGTGATGGTAGTGGATGGGGGAGTGATGGTAGTTGCTGGGGAGCTAAGCCAGGCAGACGAGGGGCCGCTACTCGGGAGGACCGAGTGCTTTTAGTCAAGTAGTTCACTTTAAAAAGTCCTGAACGTTTAAACTACATCAGCTGGTACCCGTGCTGTAGGTATCCGGTGACATCTGTGGCTAATGAGGAGGTAACGCCCCCCCCCCCCCCTTCAATTGTGACCCCCCCCCCCCCCTCCCTGGTGGTTCTAGATCCCCCGCCCTTGACGGTATGTCATTAGTGGTTCCTGCACACTTCTCAAGACTTTGAGGTATGTCTTGTTTCAAACTTTCACCAGGGGAGATAACATCTGGACTAACGGACAAGGGGAGAGAACTGTTACTGACAGGAAGTCGGTTTAAATCATTGACATTTTGAGTTCGTTGACCTTAAAAGACGAGCCTCAAACTTAATTTTTTTTTTGCTATAGCAAACTTTTGAAAAGAAATTAAACCAATAAATAATAACAATCATCGCTAAATATTTTCTCTTGAGGGGAGACAAGACCAACATATAACGTGAACGCGGGTCATTGCTTTATTTCGAGCCCACTAAAAGTATTAACCTTTGTTTCCCTTTTAAATATGAATCCTTTTTGTCCCTACGAACGAAATAAAAGCGTCACTTTATTTCTATTGTGTTTATATAAAAATTAGGAACATTGCAATATAAAATAAACCGGGAGTGATCTCCCCAAAACTTTCTCGAATATACTTATATAGATTGGAATATAGACATGAGTTTTAATTACTTAAACTTTTAAAAATAGAATAAAATCTCGTAGACAAAAGAATTGCACACCAAGTGAACGCCAAATAAAAAGTGCATAATAGTGCGCAATATTATTAGTACTTTAAAAAATTACATTAGTTTTTTGAGAAATCGGAAGTAGCGTAAATTACTACTTCCGGTCAATGGAAATTACTCAAAATTTAAAAGAAGGTAGAGAATTAGATCTTTTACATGTGAAATTTCATTTATCTATCTGAAATAGTACTCAAGTTATAGGCTTTTGAAAAATTCAAAGTAGAAAAAGTACCACTTCCGGTTATTGGAAATCGCTCAAAAGTTGATACGGATCTACGATTTTGATAAAATACTTATATATGAAATTTCATCAACCTAGCTGTAACGGTACTCAAGTTATCGTGTTTACACACGGACAGACAGACACACACACACAGACACACAGACATACGGACAGAATTGCAAAGCCCAGTTTTTCAGACTGGATATCGCATAAAACCTCTTAATTTTGATAAATCTGGATTGATGATTTTTGCCCGATTAAAATAAGTCCTCTATACTTCGGATGTGATGAAGAACTGAGGTGTAATACGGTGAAAATTGTTAAAATTTCAAGTGATTTTTTTGCACGAATACAATACTTTCTCTATCTAATATATAAAGCTCAGTTCTGTATGTAACGCATATGTTTGTCGTTGGTCTTAGATGGATTAAAGTGTTATAATATTATCGTGCGCATTTCTCTAAATTTATGAGTTAAAAAATTACTATTGAAAGTGTTGGAAAATAATTTTCATTTTTCAAATTATAGTAATAATTGTCGGCATGTTCATTAAACAAAAGTTTTAAAAAAATATCATCTTTTACAAAAATTCTAATTATGTCTTTATTTAGTCCTATAGCACTTACTTCCCTTTGATAAATTAGGAAAACACAATTACTTCCCTTTATAAAACCATTGCATTTAGTGGAAAATAATTTACTTTTTAATACTTTGTTTTGGTGTTGGGAAAAAAAATAATTACATAATTAGCGGGGATTGATCAAGTGCAAATGTTGTAGGTATTTTACGGATAAGCTTGGAGTATTAAAATTGTTCATTAAATTGAAACAGGCGCGTTCGTTTAAGTGAGTGCAAAAGACTGTGAATAAGTTGGGGTACTATAGTCGTTCATTAAGCTAAAACAGGTGATCCCGCCCCGGGCGTTTATGTTCGCGTTAGTGTTTTCTTTGTGTTTAGGTGGGTTTGCGTTAGTGGTTGCGTTTTGATTTGGTTCGATTTTGTTCTTTCTTTTTTCGTTTTTGTTTGTGTTTTTTTCTTTGGGTTTGTATTTGTGTTTTTGGTTGGTTTTGCGTTTGGATTTGGTTTGTTTTCGTTTGCTTTTTCGTTTTTTTTTGTTTGTTTTTTTGTTGGTATTGGTGTTTGTGGTTGGGTTTGTTGTTAGGTTTTTGTTTTCGTTTGTATTTGTAATTGTGTTAGCGTTATGTTTGCGTTTTGTTGTTTTGGTTGGTTGTGGTTTGGGTGGGCAATGCCGGGTTTATGATGATTACTAAACACACAGGTGATGGTCTTTAACAGAAAGGTTTTTCACAGAAGCCAGAGCAGGGCCTGGCCGGGACGGCTAGTACTTCGTATATACGAGAAAGTAAAAAAATATATTTGCTTATTAATTGTACATTACTATTTTAAAAAACATTTCAAGGGAAACAATAGATACAATAGTTGTTACATAATAGACAAAAATTCTAAGAACAAAACGATAAAAAAACGATAATAAATTATATATTTCATTTTACGTAGATATAAAAGTTATACATACATATGTAAAGATCTTAATTTTTTAAAAATATTAGATATATTGTTTAATTTTAGTTTACTTTGAAAACACATCAGCTTTATGAAAAACTCAACCCAACATATTGTAAAGCTTCCGATTAATAGCGTTCTCTTCCATGTACACGTCGGGTTATCATTATTTATTGCTATTAATTATCTCCCCAAACACCACCCCTCCCCTTTCCCCCTTGAACAACTTTCTTCCACTCCCCACCCAGACTCCGACACTTTCATTTGACCTTCACCCCTTTTACTGTTATTGCTTTCAATTTTGTATAATCGCATATATATGACATCATGTAAATATTCATTATGGACATTTGTAAAACGCTTTTGGTTTCATTTGATGTTTGAAATTATGTAAAAAATGTTGATGTACTTGTTTTAAATTGCAAATAAAAGTATTATAAAAAAAAAAAAAAAAAAAAAAATTGCTATTAATTATTCACACAACCGTACCCTTCAACCGACCCAACCGATAAAATACTACCACTCGTTTTTTCTTTTATTTTAAAAATATGTTTATACTTTAATTTTTAATACTTTAATACCAAATTTAATTCAGCTCTAGTTATAAGCCTATACCTTCTCAACCCACCCCACAGTAAATAAATTGTATTATGTATAAGTAAACTATTTTAAGTGAATGAAAGTTTAATGTCAGAAAAAAAAGTATCACTGTTGTAAATCTGTACCAGTCCTCACAAGCCGATGATGAAAACTAATAGTAAAGTCAGTGACGCTGTAAATTACATGTCTGAGGCCTCAAAATAAAGTTAAGTTTTCATACTACTAAAATGTGGATGGACAAGACGCGTCCTATCCAAATGACAATGTCTGATCAACAAGCTCCCAAGAAATCACTACTGGGTGTAACTGAACCCGAATACAAATTGTGATATGAACTATTTTTTTGATCATTCTACTTCCCTTATTGTTATTTTTTTTTTGCCCTATGTGTATATTTTAGTCTTGGATGGGCTCCAAACTATAGAACCAATAACAAGCAACAAGATAGAGAAAGGGCATATATATATATATACATACATATATATATATATATATATATATATATATATATATATATATATATATATATATATATATATATATATATAAATATACATAATAATATGTGACGTCAGTGTGTAGACATGGGCATATGTGACGTCAGTGTGTAGACATTGTCTCAGGTGATGCGTGTCAGTAGACAGTCACGTGACACAAGACTTACCTGACGTCAGTTTTGGTCCGATGCAGGACATCTGCCATGACATACGGCACCAAGGCCTTGGCCGTTGACCCCAGGTTGAAGATGGTATTGCTGCTGACCGCTAGCCCCTGGGTCAGTTCACCGTGACCCAGACCTGCAACACGGGAACAAAACCAAGGTCAAATAAAACCATTTTCAAGGTCACTACGAAACATTCGGCTGTTTAAACCAAGATAAGTATAGTATGTTATTAAATAACAAGTGTGTTATGTTTCACACGATAAGTGTATTGTGCTTTACGTAGAAACAGAAGGGATTCACAAATTTACGCATGAACGCCCACGTTTAGCGTATATCGTTACATATATAGGAATACGGCACCGACATTTCGCAATCAAAGTTCGGAATATTATTAAGTCTCCCCCCCCCCCCCCCCCAGAATCCCACCCCCACATTAATGTCCATCCACCCACCAAGCCACCGGTATAAGATCCCCAAAATGACGTCACAGCCGACGCTGAGGCTCCGTTGATTGTATTTACCCAACACTTGACATGGCACCGTGGGAAGTCTGAGTCACCCCACATGCCCGGGGTAGCGGGCTCTGGCATTTAATCTAGGGCCAGGAGGTATCGCTGACATGCACCGGGTGACCCCACAGAGAGTCGGCCCTGGCCCCGGCTCTGGTCTGTCTGGCTCTGCTGGAGGTGTAACATTATGGCCATTTGCTTCTGGATTTTTTAATCTGGCCTTTTACATCTGGCTTTTTGCATCTGGCTTTTTATATGTGGCTTTTTGTATGCCTTTACCTTATATAGATCTAGTAATTTGCAATTAAGTTGTGCGGTTTTACATTTAGCTTGTAAACGTGGTTATGAGTATCTTTAGCTGTTCTATTCTACATAGTGGATTTATTTGGCTTTTTTATATTGGACTTGGGCGCAGTGCTTTTTAAATTGGGCTTTTTACATATGGTTTTAAGAAGATGGCTACTTTTGAAAAACTGTATAGCTTTGGAGTCAAGAAAGACGTTTTACATTTGGCGAATTCTTAAATATCAAGAAATAACGACGTGAAAATAATGTATATTCTGATCTTTTTAAAAGTAATTAATTACTTCTGATCTTAGTATGGACACTATTGTTGAAGAAAGTCAGCAAGGAGTGCCACTAACACGTGTTGATCATGGTTTTAGACCTAAGTGATTTGGATTAATTAAACTTATTAGCACATCCTAGATTCTCCAGGGGAGCTCCTTTTAATATAATATTTCAAACGACATGAAAGAAAGTTAAAACACTACAATTTTTGGTGCTGTGGATTTAGTTTTCAAAAATTTAACATCTTGCGAAACTCCCGAACCTTAAGCTGATTCAGTGAATCAGCGTGCTGTCGTTTTAATCCCATAAAATCTGTACTGCCAAAATATTCCAACTTTTTAAGTACTTTCAGCAATGCACAACCACGGTGTACCCCCCACCCCCCCCCCCCCCCCCCCCCCAAAACCACAGATTCCTCTAGCAGCTTAGAGTACACGCGGTGTGAAAACACCCAAAGAAAAATGTAATAAAAAATATGACGCACCACAGTGGGAGCCGCCATTTTCGTGACGTCAGCGGTAAGGTCAAATCAGGGGCAGACAATAACGGGAAGCGGGCAATCTCATAAGTTACCGTCCGTTGGGGCGGATTTTTATTTACGCTGGTAGATAGGCTATCGTAAGTTGCGATTTCATACATTACACCCAGACACTAAAACCATATGGCTTTTATAAACTTTTATTCCAATCCACTATTTTTCAATTTCCTGTTTTAACACTTCATACATTTACGATCGTCTTTAAAACGTCATCTTTCCAACATCGTATCGTTTGTTTTCCTCTTCATTGCCGGGCCTGTCCGGCTGTAAAAGAAAGGACGATAACTCATATTGTACTCTGTAATGGAACCACTTGAGCCTAGCGGGATGACGTCACATTTATCACGTGATAACGTGACGTCATACTGGCTGTTATCAAGCCATAACTCTGGTTGGTGTAGGGTGTAAAGGGCTACATGTAGGATGTAAAGGGCTACAAGTAGGGTGTAAAGGGCTACATTGTTTGTCTAAAGTACACACAATATATAGGGGGGGGGGGGGAAATTACTGTCTAATAGTGCAACACTATTATTGTCTTCAAATTGATCAGTCGAAAAAATACAACATGCAGTTATATGAAGACTTTATGGTCGTTTGACCGTTAGGGTTAGGTTAGGGGTCACGGACGACAGGCACAGATAAGCCATTGATTGAAGTCTTGATGGTCGTTTAACGGTAACGGTTGGGATGGAAGAGCAGATGACATGCACAGATAAGCCCTTGATTGCACACCTTTTTGTAGTTTGATTCGGTGCTAGGGTTTGGTCGAGGTCAAATATCAATATCTATTGTTAGAATTGCACCTCTTAACGTAAATGTACAATTAATTCATTGTGTTGCAACTTTAAAGGACGCTTTCCAAAAAATAATAATTATAGGACCATGGACAGCAGTAGAGCAGAAACCGGAAGTTGACAGAAACGTTTGGAAACCGGAAGTTGAAAGTTAGCTTTGGGAGCCGGAAGCTTGTAGTAAACAAAATGGAAGACGAAGCTTAGTTTCAAAGTTTGAAAAACTTTAGTGTGATAAAAATCAATTTGAGTTAATTAAGCTCTTAATAATTTCAAATGATAAACTTTCAAAACCCACATCACCAAGTGAATGTGCTTCAATTAATAGACGACGTCACCACGTCCAACGTTTAAGAACGCTCATCCATCGTCCCTCTACTTTCAAACCACTAAACCGCTGGCTTTCATAAGTACACGCAATCTGATGACGTCAGTTTCAATGGCGTCCAACTTACCGTCGGCGTAGGTGGCGCTTCCTCTAATGACGCCGAGAGCCAGGCCGGGGATGTTGGCACAGTGCATAACCTCATTAACGAACTGGTGGATGTCACTTTTCTCCTCGTCAGTGAACGTGTCAGTGACAGCGGCAGCGCTGACCTTGGTCATTAGACAGGTCAAGGTCAGGAGAAAATACGGGAGAGCCTGCAACATCGTGGTGTGATTGCCGGCAGGTGGGGGGAGTCGTCTGCTATCAGTGCTGAGATCTGCTGCTGCTTCAACGATTTTAAACGTTTAGTTTACACCTGGGAATAGAGAGGAGAATATAGATGTTTAGTTTACACTTGAAATAGAGAGAAAAATATAGATGTTTATTTTACACCTGGGAATAGAGAGAAATATAGTTTAGTTTACACCTGGGCATAGAGAGGAAAATATAGATGTTTAGTTTACACTTGAAATAGAGAGAAAAATATAGATGTTTATTTTACACCTGAGTATATAGAGAGAAATATAGGTTTAGTTTACATCTGGGCATAGAGAGGAAAATATAGATGTTTAGTTTACACTTGAAATAGAGAGAAAAATATAGATGTTTATTTTACACCTGAGTATATAGAGAGAAATATAGGTTTAGTTTACACCTGGGCATAGAGAGGAAAATATAGATGCTACTATTGCATGTCTTCTGTCGTGATCTCTGACGCTAAGCTCTTTCCTCTCTCTCTCTCTTCCTATAATTCATGATCACTCTTACTCCATCTTTCTTTCTTTCTATACATTTATCTTTTTTATCTTTCTCTTTCTACATCTCTTTCTCTTAACGCCAAAGAATCTAAACATCACGTTGATATAGAAACAAAGACATTTCTGTAAAAATTGCTTTCTGCGCGTGTGTGTGAGTGTAAGAGAGTGTGTGTGTTTGTGTGTTTTTTGTATATGCGAATAGAATTACCTATGTTGAAAGGCATCCATGCAGAAAATGTGCAATACCGCATTTTAAGACAGGCATGTGTTTTTAACGGGATGAGATATGTGAAACTTAGGATAGGAGTTTTAGGATAGGCTACTGACGTGTACGATCTTCGTCATGACCTCTATGATAGGTCTTCTCCATGACCCTTTAAGATAGGTCTTTGATATAAACTATAAGAGAGGTCTTTGTATAATCTCTAGGTTTAGTCTACGTTAGTTTTCTACCCGCCCTCTCTGGAAGGACGATGTAATTCGGTCAATCAAGACTTTTGTGCTTTTTGGGTATTCAAATGTGAACAGCGTCTTAACCTGATAATCTGCTTCAGTGCTTTAAATATGTCTACTTTCTCTCACAAATCACAATCTACTTCAGTACTTGAAATACGTCTACTTTATCTCACAATGAAGTACTTGGAATACGTCTACTTTATCTCACAATCTACTTCAGTACTTCAAGTACGTCTACTTTATCTCACAATCTACTTCAGCATTTGAAATACGTCTACTTCCTCTCACAATCTACTTCAGTACTTGAAATACGTCTATTTTCTCTCACAATCTACTTCAGTACTTGAAATACGTCTACTTTATCTCACAATCTACGTCAGTACTTCAAATACGTCTACTTTCTCTATCTACTCCAGTACTTCAAATACGTCTACTTTCTCTATCTACTCCAGTACTTCAAATACGTCTACTTTCTCTATCTACTTTAGTAGTTTAAATACGTCTACTTTCTCTCACAATCTACTTCAGTACTTCAAATACGTCTACTTTCTCTATCTACTCCAGTACTTCAAATACGTCTACTTTCTCTATCTACTTTAGTAGTTTAAATACGTCTACTTTCTCTCACAATCTACTTCAGTACTTCAAATACGTCTACTTTCTCTATCTACTCCAGTACTTCAAATACGTCTACTTTCTCTATCTACTTTAGTAGTTAAAATACGTCTACTTTCTCTCACAATCTACTTCAGTACTTCAAGTACGTCTACTTTCTCTATCTACTTCAGTACTTTAAATACGTCTACCTTCTCTCACAATCTATTTCAGTACTTTAAATACGTCTACTTTCTCTCACAATCTACTTTAGTAGTTCAAATACGTCTACTTTCTCTCACAATCTACTTCAAAGCTAGAAGTTCAAGGAGGGAGGGGATTGGGATGAAATATATATTTTTAAATTAAATATTGCTTTCACAAGCTCCAGATGAAACAGAACAATTAATTTTTTTATTTATGCCAAGGGACAGAAGAACTACTTATTTGTTTTAAAAAAATGTGCATTTTAAAAACGGCGTACTTAAGTAAATTCCTCCAGCGATCAAAGAAAGCCCAATATTGTGAGCCAAATGAACAAGCAGACAAATATTTCCCAAGTATCAGCTAAATAGAATTGTTAACGTAGAAAAAGCAACAACAACCGTACTTTATACAAGTACAACGTATTTCCTCAGGACTACGAAATACCAAGTATAAAGACTAAACAAAAAGCCATCAGGCTAACCTAGCTTGATGGTAGGCGCCACCTAAACGAGGCTTTAATTATCAGATTTGTGCTTGCTTGACGCTACAGGACGATGAACGTTTTAAGAAAGATTTGGGAAAAAAATGGCGGGCTGAACACAAACAGGTTTCATCCTTAAGGGACGTACCCCTAATCGTTTCTTGAAGTGATCCACTTAATCTCTCAGGTAAAGGGAACTTCCGGGTTAAAAAAAATCTTTTTTTACTCTAGCAAGATTTCATTTTTTTGCATGCAGCTGTATACACGACTCACAGGAAATTAGTGCGCTCCCCTGAGTCCATGGTTTTTATTGAAGATTTCTATCGTCGTATAGAGGATCTGATGGTGCTGGTGGGTCTTTAGCGGGTAGATATCGAGTATTTATAAATCAATTAATTAATTATGAGTCAATAAATATTTTATTTATAGCACAAGGTCATAATGTGGATACATGTCTTCGGTTGTTAGCGAGTTTGTTTAATCTATTAGGTAAGGCGGTATTGTCAGTGTTTCTTCCAGACTTTTTCTCCAATAGACACTTGAAATTTTCTTGGGGGTGGGGGGCGGACATTGGTAAAAGTATATATTTTCTATATAAATTGTATTACGTTCGGGGGGGGGGTAGGGGGGGGCGGTAGACATTTTTCGAAGTGATGCCTGGAAGAAGGTAGCCAGAAATTATTGCCTGCGTCAAGTCAAACTATCAATTACTGTTTACGGACACAATGAGCAATTATTGCCCACGTCACGTGAACCAATTATTGCCCACGTCACGTGAACCAATTATTGCCCACGTCACGTGAACCAATTATTGCCCACGTCACGTGAACCAATTATTGCCCACGTCACACCAGATAATTATGCCCCGCTAAAAAGTATAGGGTCATGTATGTGAAGACACTTCACACTTCGGTCACGTGGTCTGCTAAGGTCAATAGGTTGAACAGATACAACTCCCAGCAGTGCGTGACGACTGAGCGAAGAGTTAAGCGACTATTTGGTGACTATTCAAGTGGCGACTGTGTGAGAGTTAACTGACTATTTGGCCACTACTCAAGTATCAAGTCAGACAGAAGCTGGCGTGAGTTACTGAGGATATATTTTTAACTACAGACCCGGATTAAAAAAATGATGTACCACATTCTATGCATGTGTGTGTGGGGGGAGGGGGGGTAGTTATGCCCGTATATATAGATACTCCTCTAGATGTGTGTGTGTGAGAGAGAGTGTGAGAAAGTGGAGTTAAGTGCTGACCACAGTCAACCGATGCTGTGATGGCTTCTACAACAGATTAACATAAGCACATATAAAGTGAGCACATATAAAGTTAGCACATATAAGGTTAGCACATATAAAGTTAGCACATTTAAACAGAGAAAGAGAGAGAGAGAGAGAGAGAGAGAGAGAGGGAGAGAGAGAGATAACAGCGTAGTAAAATAGTCACAGGATGATAACATCTCGGGGGTGGGGGAGGGGGTGGTTGCCATTCTAACTATAACAACTTCATCTTTGAAAAGCGGAACACGTTACTTATGATCCAAATTTAGAGTTACCATTTTTTGTCAGTAGTAATGTCAGTGCTATTTGTGTCATCACCACGTGTCAGTGCCATGTGTCAGTGCGATATCTCAGGCTGTATTAGTGCTGAGTCATTGCTACGTGTCGTCACGACATGTGTCAGTACTATGTGTCACCGCTACAAGTGTCACTACTGTGTGTCATCTCCGTATGTGTGAGTACTTTGTGTCAATGTTATGATTGGTCCAATGGTCAAGCCGTGAATTCAGCAGTTTTTTATGACATGCGCACATATCTATTCACTTAGAATCATCTAGATTAAGTGGGTCGTCAAATTACATCCAATGTAATTGGAACACTTGGTAATGATAGTGGGGAACACCCCCTCCCATACATCAAGAGAGAGACAGGGGGAGAAGAGGAGGAGGACCAAGAGAGAAAGAGAGGTCCTCTTAAGGAGAAAGGTTTTAGTTTTATAAAAACCCGATCAGCAGTTCACAACAATGGCAGTACGCGCTAATTATTTTGTAAAAGATTTCAGAAACACAAAACTTTCCCTATCTAATATATTTAGTTTTTACACTAAAAAGTGGCAACAAATTATTTTTAAATTGCAGTAGACCTACAGATTTCTGGCAATTTTTTCAACATGAATAATTTTAAAATAATTCTTTAAAAAAAAAAAAAAAAAACGTTTCCGATCAGTGGTACAGCAGGAAAATAAAAAAAGATTGAATTATGTTTGTCATTTCACCGTTACCCAATTCGTATTAAATCAATATTTTCCAAACATTTTAAAAATATTTTTTTTCATATCTAATTTACCGGGTAGTGCATCTAGATTACGGTCATGTTGCCAGAAAAGCAGCAGCCGATGCAAGTTAAAAAAAAATTCAAAGTAAGCTTTAATGACTTGCCAGATAGGCTTATGCTCTTTTTGTTTTGAGTAACCAACTGTAAACAAAATGTTGATAAGCTAAAAACAAAAATTACAAACCTACGAAACTATTTCGGCGTTCACGGTGACCTTGACCCGACCACCATGCCAGATAAATGTGTCTGGTCTGGCATTTAGTTTGTGGCGGGCCCAGGTTTAATTGTTGCTCTGTTGTCTTTAGAGGTAAATTGAGTTAGGAATAATATATTTATGTTGATACAACTCTTGTTTTATATTCAGCCTGCAGTCAGTTATGTTATTAAAGATAAAAGTAAGCAGATTAGTTCAGTAATTTATAGAGGCCTGGTTGGTTTATTTTCATTTAGGGTCTGCGGGGGGACGGGGGGACGGGGGGTGTAAAAGAG